GGGCTTCTGTGTTTTCTTTTTTTTTTTTTTTTTTTTTTTGTTATTGACTGTATTGAAATTGAACCGGTTACTTCTTATAACTGAATCTGGTAATGGTGCCCTTTCCAAAAAGGCACTGCCCTTTTTTGGACCTTATTTTCCAATATTTTTATTTTGTTTTCCACCTATGTTTGATATATATCCGATTATTTTAAATTCACACAAATAAATTTGACTATTTTGAATTCACGCAAGATATTTGTTCATCTAGATTGTAATTGAACCACGTGGTCAAATATTTTGCCATACTGTTTATATATGTTAAAAGAAAAGAATGGCTTGTTGATGTACTTTGAAATACTTGGGGGGCGCCATCCAATGACGAAACTTAATTAAATTCATCGTTTGAATCATACTATATAGTAGTAATATATATGATGGCTAAGTATACATTTTATAATACAATATTTTTTCAGCATGACTAAAAAGGGTTTCACTTCATTGTAAAAAGAACTTCTTAGTTAAATTGAAATGGGTGAAATCATTTAGCCCCTCTTAACTGTACTAAGTACCATTTGATGATCTCACATAGTTTGTGACTCCAGTTGAAGCATTGAAAAAATAAATAAACAAACGCACTCCGACAACATAATGTTCAAGAGAAAAAACATTGATGTTTGTTCAGATTGTGACAATCAAAAGACAAACATTTACATGACTTAGGATGCTTCCTGCAGTAGAAGAAATACAACTCCAATGCATACATATTCCAGCTCAGTTGCACACCCTTAAGCTCAAAAACAAGTCACAGATCAATATAACCTCATGCAGCGGCCAATTCCGCTATGAAGTGTAATCCATAGTGATGGCACATTGTGAATCTCAAGTATACATGCTATGTTCTACATCCTTAACACAATAATGACCCTAATACACATGAATAAACATCAGAATGCACGAAATAAATCAACAGCATCAAGTTTCTCCTTTATGTCACAAATAACAAATATAAGAAACAACACCAAAGGGAAGGTGTCAAGATTCAGGTATTACGTTTCTCCCCTTGTACAGGAAGAAAATGGGAAATACAGTCTGTAATATTTTTAATCCAGAACCCACCAGAGAAGACATGTATAATTGACCTTATCTTTGCCCTCAGCACATCTGAGAAATGCAAGTTCCTTGTCGATGAACTGGGCCTAAAGTTCATCAGTTTCATAAGCATAACTTTACCAGAGCCATGGAAGATATTTGAGGGATGCAGATAGCAGAAGTTTAGCGACGAGGTGCAGATGGTTCCCCAAGGGAATAGCGAGATGAGACTAAAGCTGGGTACCTAGGCTCATCCCTAACATGGTGATATTTCAAGCCGTACTCTGGTGGTAATTGAGGAGCATATGGTGGATATGCTCTTTCATTTTCAGTGTTTAATCTCCACGTCGGTGGATATGCTCTTTCACTTTCAGTGTGGAATCTCCCCGTTAGTGGATATGCTCTTTCATTTTCACTGCTGAATCTCTCCGTTGATGGATATACTCTTTCATTTTCAGAGTGGAATCTCCCCGTTGGCGGATATGCTCTTTCATTTTCACTGTTGAATCTCTCCGTTGGTGGATATGCTCTTTCATTTTCACTGTTGAATCTCTCCGTTGGTGGATATGCTCTTTCATTTTCACTGTTGAATCTCTCCGTTGGTGGATATGCTCTTTCATTTTCACTGTTGAATCTCTCCGTTGGTGGATATGCTCTTTCATTTTCACTGTTGAATCTCTCCGTTGGTGGATATGCTCTTTCATTTTCACTGTTGAATCTCTCCGTTGGTGGATATGCTCTTTCATTTTCACTGTTGAATCTCTCCGTTGGTGGATATGCTCTTTCATTTTCACTGTTGAATCTCTCCGTTGGTGGATTTGCTCTTTCATTTTCAGTGTGGAATCTCCCCATTGGTGGATATGCTCTTTCATTTCCAGTGTGGAATCTTCCCGTTGGTGGATATGCTCTTTCATTTTCACTGTTGAATCTCTCCGTTGGTGGATTTGCTCTTTCATTTTCAGTGTGGAATCTCCCCATTGGTGGATATGCTCTTTCATTTTCACTGTTGAATCTCTCCGTTGGTGGATATGCTCTTTCATTTTCACTGTTGAATCTCTCCGTTGGTGGATTTGCTCTTTCATTTTCAGTGTGGAATCTCCCCGTTGGTGGGTATGCTCGTTCATTTTCAGTGTAGAATCTCTCCGTTGGTGGATATGCTCTTTCATTTTCAGTGTGGAATCTCCCCATTGGTGGATATGCTCTTTCATTTCCAGTGTGGAATCTTCCCGTTGGTGGATATGCTCTTTCATTTTCAGCGTGGAATCTTCCCGTGGGTGGATATGCTCCTTCATTTTCAGCGTGGAATTTTCCCGTATGGCCTTTGATGCCAATTGCAGAATAGGGGTCACTTACAAAAGACTCCCTGCCTGTCGAAGAGTATGACACTACAGGTGCTACCACTGTCCGAGGCAGAGAGAGATATCGGTTTACAAGTGAGGTAGTACTCTCGGCATAAGGATCATACTTATCCTTAACATGATTTAGTAAACTATGATTGGTAGGTGTGGCTGAAATTCCTGTAGCACCACTTTCCACAGCAGGAGCAACAGTAGCAGGTATTTCACTGCGAAACTTGAGGCCGTAAGTTCGATACTCCCTTTCGCTTGGAAACAAAGGTTCAGTAAGTACAGTTTCTTTTCGTGCTAAAGCCGCATCACTAGTAATCCCAGTGGGATTTGTTCGGAGATGTTCCCTTCCTTGTTCAGATTCATAATGATCCAATGTGCGGTCAACTACTGCAGAAGCAAAGGCCTGCGGATGCTTTGCTGATTGAAGACCATAGCTTCTATATTCTTTCTCAGTGAGGAAACGAGGTTCACTGTCAACCTCTCTAGGCATGATAAGGCGGCCTGCATGCTGCTGCCTTTCCCTTTCATGACCATATGATGAAAAATTCTCACCTGCTTTGCTTCTTCCGTATTGCAATCCAACATGCTCCCTGGAAGGTTCCTTGCTAGGTAAAGGTGCTGCTGATGGGGGCAGACTAACTGGATATGACACAGAATGTTTGGAAGTTGGATGTAGCCATGGTGCTGGCGTAAACAGCTTTTTCAACTGCCCTACCTGCTCAAAGGCGAAAACAGGGCCACAAAATTGACATCAAATGCTAGGTAAATAACACACTATCTCCAAGTAGAACTTGTCAATGAGGGAAGTGTGTTGTCACCTGCTTAAATGTCAACTCAGTCTTGAACTTGTGAGTCCTTTCATCATAATTCTCTTGAATTGCTCTCTTGAACAAATTCTCCGTCAATGGAAGGCAGTCCTTGTAAATCCTGAAGCGAACCTGTTGTATGACCAGTCATCAATAAATACACCTTAAGAGTTGTGGAACAAGATAAAATGATAAGAATTTAAAATTAACAATAGAAGCACAATTGACCTGCGCTGGGAAGTCCCCACCAAATGCCGCTGGTTCAAGTTTCATTCCACCAGCAGATGAAGCCTCATAAATACCATACATGAGCTTAAGATCAACATCAAAGAGATAAAGCTTGACACCAGGTTTGATTCCCAAAATAATGTCTTTCTTCATAGCTGAGACACCCATCACATGATATTTAAAACAATCATCTTTGGTCTTTGCATTACACATGAAAATCACTCCACCAATACCCTTGTCAGCTTTTCCGTCCTCCACATCTACCCTCATTTCACTTGCACTTCCCTTTCCTTTGTTTCCACTTTTTATGTTTAGGGACTTCCTAGCATCTTTTTTGTCAAAATTATTTCCTTGATTGTCATCTTTTATGTTCTTCTCCTTGTTTCTGGATTGAGATCGTGGAGTGGCCTCAACATTATTTCCTTGGTTGCCATCTTTTATGTTCTTCTCCATGTTTCTGGATTGAGACTGTGGAGTGGCGTCAGCTTCTTTCATTTGTGCAGAGTTTAAGTTGGATTTTTTTGCAAGTTTACCTTTAGCCATTAGTTCCTTTGGGGTTTTATTGTCTTGAGGTACTCTTCCAGAACTAGATGCAGCCGCATTATTTCTCCTTCTCTTGTTTTTCTTGGCCATACTCGTTCCTGCTAGTTATTTCACAAAAAGAAAAACTACAAGCATGAATGACAAATTTCTGAAGAGAAGATTTCACAATAACCCAGTACATAGCTAGTTACAAGTTAGAATTGTTGGGGTAGAGTGACCAGGCATTGTAAATTTCTATATTAAAAAAGAAAAACGAAAAAAAAAAAACAAGTCTATTATGAAAGATATTCAGGCCTACAAGGACCTGAATGCTTCTGAATTTACTGGTGTAGATGAATCAATTCTGCAGTCCAATTTCCACAATCATCACTATCATTAGAATCTACCTGCAAATGACCTTCGTATAATTCCACATAATTGGGTCTTTTAAGTTGACACTTGCGGGATCGTGTTCTCTCTTTCTCTTGTGAAATAATGGTGATATCCGGCCAACTTCCACATACCTCGACATTTATTCTAGGTGCCGCATCATATCAAGTAGTACAGGTCACGGGTGACTTTACCCACTAAAGTTACGGAGAAGGGAGAAAATCAATTATGTAGATTTTCTTGCCTCTACTTGAACCTGAATCTTAGTCTCCATGACTTCTATTAAAACTTCATCAACCGCTACATCACTCTTGGGTGCAAAATTGTGTTTTTCTCTTAACTACCTCTAATAAAATCACCAAGTTCACAAAACATAACTAACCTACTCTTTCAAATGGATAAGGAACCAACCAGCTAAACACACTATCTCATATGATACCTTTGTTATTTCTCTTTTTACATTCTCCTGACAAGCAGAGTTCAGTTACATGTATACGTGCTTGTGTATTTCTTTAATTAAAAAGGAGTAACTGCGCATTATGTAGTTGATTGATTCCCTTAACTGCACATTTCTGCAGTCGCTCTTCCAAAGGAATAATAACGTAAGGGCCGTTTGGTCGGGGTTTTAAGGAGATTTGATCTCCCATGAAATCCAACATTAGTTTATGAGCAAGACGCCGTCATAAAAAAAAAATTCATCAAAAACAAAATATAGCATGCATAATCAGTGGATAATAAATGTCCCCAAGTTTTCTCACGGTCACTCTAATTGGAAAAGTATTTGGACATTCTGGGATGATTTTGTACGGTTGAAATTCTTCAAGTTGGGTGATGGAAGACGGATTTTCTCTTGGCATGATTTGCTATATTCTAGAAGATGGGTGCACTACTAAAGAAAGGAGAAAAAAATCCATCAAGTGGGAATTGATCCTTGTAACTCCACGTAAAAAATTTAGCTTTTGATCAAGTGCACCACTAAACCTTTTTGTAGCACGAGTGCCAGAAGGTAATATAAGATCAATTCGAGAAAATCTACACATAAAATATCTAGTTTTGCGAAAAGACCCTGGGTTCAGGTGCACCTTAAACTACGCACAAAATTCGCCCCTGTCAATACCCATCTCAAGTTGAATTTCCCAGTTCTCTTTACTCTTGCTGCCAACCAAAACTCAACTGTAGCATAAAACTTCTCAAAACGAGGGTAGAAGGAACAAATTAGATCGTATACACACTTTGGTTCAATTCAACAGCTTTCGGCCAACTCCACAAGTTCAGACGACAAGGATAGATCTCTTGGAAGGGCAACAAAGATGGTTTTTTCCTCACAATTATACTTCTTATCTACCAAGGAATCAGTAAAAATTACGTATTAGCTACGACAAATCGGAAATGAATCTTCCTTATACAAACGGAGCAGTTATAAAATAGATTAAACAAAATATATAGAATCATGGATTAGGGTTTAAGGTGCCGGTCAATCTCACCGGAGAATGAGGGAGGCTTACCAGTAAAGTTTACCGGAGAAAGAGACGGTGAGGAACTGGTCGGAGAAGCTGACGCCGGAAAAACTCGTCGGAGAAGCAGTGAGGGTTGCACTCGACTAGGGAGAGACCAAATTGAATTTTAGCGTTTTAGGGGAGGGAAAGTGGTGGGTTATTGGGCCGAATATAGTCGAATTAGGATCCGAATTTGGAATCTAGCATACGATTTTATTTTTATTTTTTAAAATTAACAATCTAATATAACGATTGATTATTTCGTAAATCAATTACTATTTTTTAAGGAAGAAAAGGAAAAAGATAAAGTTTGACATTACGGAAAGTCTTTTAAGCACTAAATCTCACTATTAGATGGTATGGAATTTTAGAGAAGATTGTGCTTAGTAACTTTAACCAATTATGTCTTATTTATAATTATTTTTTCATTACGACAATAGTTACCATTGATAGAAAATTATACCAGAATTAAAGATCAAATTGGAGAAAAGAGGAATAAGTGTGTGAAGAAATGGTCCTGAACTTACTGACCATCCTCAGTAATTTTCAACATTTCCCACTTAATTTGTATATACTAATTTCGTTTATGAAATACTACTCCATATGTCCCAATTTATGTGACTTACTTTTCTTTTTAATCAGTTCCAAAAAGGAATGACACATTTTTATATTAAGTAACAATTTAACTATAAAATGTCTATTTTACTCTTAATGAAATGATTTACAGCCACACAAATTTCTATTATTCATTTTGGACCACAAATTTTAAAAGTCTTAATTTCTTTCTTAAACTTCGTGCCGAGTCAAACTACCTCACATAAAATGGAACGGAGGGAGTATATGAATCAATGTAATAGTCTTTTTAGGAACGAGTACTATTAGCCATGTATCACAATGCACTATGTCTCTAAAATTGTAGCTCATATTACTCAATGAATAAAGAGGAAATTTCGCAAATAACCATTAAAATAATTTAATTAGACTTTATAGCTATAGTTTGCTAATTACGATTCGTAACTACATGCTAGAGGAAGAAAAAAAGTAAGCGAGATTGGGAGGAGGGGGCAAAGAGTGGAGAAAGGTGAATTGTATTTGTATATATGTCAAATTGTATATGTATATCTGTCAAATAGTTGTATATATGTAACTGGTATACATATGTATTTGTATATCTGGCGAGCGCGATTGAGAGAGGGCAGATAGTGGAGAGAGACAAATTGTATTTGTATATCTGTCATATAATTATATATGTATATGTATAATTTGTAGTTGTATATGTATAAGAGAGAACAGAGGCGAGAGCGCACGTAATTATAGCTAAAAAGAGGCTACGAGTGATAATTAATTCAAACTATAGCTATGTTAGCTAATTAACTAGTATATGTTTATTTATCCGCATAATTACCTCATGAATAAATTTATTATTTATTATAGGGTCCATATTCTAGAGATGTTTCTCAAAATAAAATTGAATGTGTAGATGGTTATAAATACTAGAAATATTATATAAAATAGAGTTTCATAGACATTCATTGTTACAATGAAATTTTACATAATGAAACTAAGTTCCATTGTGACTACACGATCCTTAAATTTCTAAGGTGACATGTTTTTAGTTGAAGGATTAACTAACATCAGTTCAGTGCTAACATGTTCGATGATCATTTTCTACCTTTAACACGTTCTTTTATGACTAGATGCATACTTGATATCAATATACTTCTTCGATTATCACCTTTTAATTATGTAATTTCCACAACCTAACCTTAATAGTTTAGAAATAGAGTCGACAACTCTAAGCTCGAAAATAAAGTTCTTCAACTATATGTCATGTGAAGTAACTTCAAAATAAGAAACGAACTCAACCTCCATAGTGAAAGTAGTTTCAAGAGTCTAAATATTTGAAGTGTAATATAAGTTTAATAACGTATAACGCATAATACAAACTATAAATATGATTATTTTTTAAAAATTCAAAAGTTAGGCTTTTATTGATAATTCCGAAATTTGAATTAAAAAAACATATTTGTATCATGAGTTATACATTATTGAACTCATAATACAAATATGAAAGTGAGTTTTGATACACAAGTCATTACCATGAGAGGAAGTTTCAAGTATATTAGGTCAATAATCTAAGAAAATGAGAAGATTAAAATGATGTTACACATCGTATTGGAGCAAGCTGGATTAGAGGCTCACATTCGGTGTATTTTGTGATAAAATGTACAACTAATCTATCTACCTTTAGAAGGTAGAAATAAAGTCTATGTACACATCACTCTCTCCAGACCTCACTAATAAAATTACACTAAATATATTGTTGTTGTAATAGTAATAACAACAACAATAATATTTACTCATTATTTTACATAACGTGCTTGTTCATTTTCGAGTTAAAATTAATAGACATTTTTTGGTCAAATATTTAAATTATGTCATGACATTTTTTTTTTTTTTTTTTAAAACATGTATAGTCCATGATTAAGTCAAACATTATAATATAAATCTGCTATACAATCACATGGGCATTTGGTCTAGTGGTATGATTCTCGCTTAGGGTGCGAGAGGTCCCGAGTTCAATTCTCGGAATGCCCCATTTCTAAAAACATTTATTTTAGCTAAAACATTTTTTTCCCCAAAATAATGTAAAGTTTCAGTTTTTTGATATATATGATAAATACTAATATCAATTGGGATTATTTATTTAAGTTGGATATAAAAATATCAATTGGGGTTATTCAAGTCTGACAACGAGTTTTCCAACAAGCCTAACGAGGAGCTCTAGGAGCTCTGAATAGTTGTTTGAACAATGAGTTACATTTACGTAACTTTAGTGCCAATATTGGCATTTTATTTAAGTTGGGAGAAAAAAGGAATTGGGGCGTTCCGAGAATCGAACTCGGGACCTCTCGCACCCAAAGCGAGAATCATACCACTAGACCAAACGCCCTTTTTATGTTAAAATCAATCATTCTTCTACCTTTCATTAAGGAAAAGAATGATACCTTTTTGTTTTTGATATTTAATCTTTGGAATATCTAATTTATTCTTAAACAAGATGTGTAAATTATATGTACTGTCTATGTATGTATTCTTATATAGTATGCACTATTTACAAGCTTTGATCCCATCTCATTATGACATTGTTGGACCAATCGGATGATCATTATTGAAAAATAAGGAAGGAACTCATGATCCGAAAGCAGTATAGAAAAATAAAATAATTTGATGTCCCAAAGATAGAACAGACAAACGAATAAATATATCCATATGAGATCCTATCCATGCGAAATCCTATAAATTATAGAGGTCTATTAACTTAATAACAAACAGTCAAACGCTTATGATGGATAATTTTTCAATTTAATTAAAACTAAAACTTGTCTTTTTTTCCAATCACTAAATACCTAGCATAGGTCTAGTAAAAAAATTTATTAGTATAACACCTTAAACCTCGTAATATTGTTATTCTAGATTAGGATTGTAATTGATTTTAATGTTTTAAATGTCAAGACTTTTAATATCATTTAAATAAGGAAACAATTATGAAATAAAACTTTAGTAAATTTTAAAATACTAAATATTAAGAATTGTTACGTAAATAAATACAACAAAGAGATTTAATAGTTATAAGTTATAACTTATAATAATGAATTTCAAAGTATTAGAACAATACTTATTTAAGAAAAATAATAAATAACAATTTTATCTATCGTAAAATTTAACGAAGATAAGTGTATAACTAAAAGGGGAGAATATTTTGGTATAGTTATGAATTTGTATTGTAACAGAAAACAAATGCGTGGGTAAGTAGGAGACCTAAAGATTAAATGCGTTTGGGTTGTTGACAAGCATATTTTATATAAATAAATAGTGTTTTCTCTGTTCATAATTTTGCATCTAAAGCTTTATTTTAACCTAACAATGGAAGAAGAAGAGTAAGTATTTTTCATCATCTTATTTTCTTGTTTTCATCTTCAATATTTAGTGTTAAGAATGTTATTGAATTAGTCGATATTCCTGTTTTATTTTTAATGTAATTTTATCGGTACTCTAATTGTGTTGATCCTATATCTATATACTACTTAATTTAATTTTGTTTCTATGATCTAGTTTCAGTACACCAAAATATATGAATTTGTTTGAATTCAATTCATACAATTTAGCTTTTTATTGCAAAATACATGTATTCCAACCTTCATAATTAGATATGAATTGCTAATCACTCTACGTAATTGCATTATTAAATATTTATTTTTTCCATAGCATAATTTCATCAAACAAACTACTCAAATAAAAAATTGCTTCAATACAAATTATAATTTACAAATTTATATAATTGATTTCTATTTTGTTAATTGTTCTCATTATGAAATAATGAAATCATATTTATTTTGCACTTATTTTTTTTCTCTTTTTTTCAAATCAGGAAAAAGTCAAAGATAAACAAGTAGTAACTTAGTATCTATTCAAATTTATTTTATATTTATCTTCACCTTTCAGTCTAATTACATTTTCCATTTTCCAATAAATAACTGTTTTTAACTTTTTAACATCAATTTTTGAATTTATCTAATAAAACTTTACATTAGTACAATATTTGAAAAAAAAATCTATTTTTCAATCTTTTACCTATATTTTTATTTGAATTTGTTAAAAATTGTTGCATGGTAGCCATTTTGTACATATCTATTCATATCTTTTATTAAACAGTCAAGTAAAACATTTAAGATTAGCCAGTATTTTAGGATTAATCCAAGATTTTAGTAAACAACTAGTAACATAATATTTATTAAAATTTATTTTAGATTCATACTATCCTTCTCATCTTCCAACACACCTCATCTTCAACTATATCTTTTTGCATAGCCATTACATTTTTCAGTAAAAACTTTTTGCATAGCCATTGCATTTTCCAATAAAAACTTTAGTTTCGTTATCATTGAGTAATTTATTCAATAAACTTTATATTTCGTAAAAAAAATTGTATTTTTAACTTTAATATGAAATTTGAATTTATATAATAAAGTTTTTACATATATTTTTATTTGAATTTGCTTATAATTGTTGTATTGTAGCCATTTTGTACATATCTATGTCATTCATAAATGTTTGTGTATGCTTGTGTAATGTTCCTAAATGTTTGTGTAATGTTTTAGTATACATTCAAGATTAGCGCGTAATATTTATTCAAATTGTGTGTCCTCCCATCTTCTCGTATCACCTCACGTCAAAAATTAAGTAAGAAACACACTTATGGTAAACATTTTATTGTATTTCATATCTAGCACGTCCTAAATAGAATGTCAAAACAAGTTCATACATTTTGAATAGTTCATATCTATAGTACACGTTCTAACTTTATACTTGCACTAATGGAACCTAAATTCTTCCAATTATATTTCCCTTGTATAAAGTTCAACAAATTAAATTTTATTGTTTGTGAAGGTACATTAGAACAAGGATTTCATCAAGAGCATGGTGTGATCTACATCCAGAGCTTTTAAATGAAATAGCAGAGAGTTTAGGAATAATTGATCTTCTTGGCTTTCGCGGAGTTTGCAAAGATTGGCGTTCTGCTTCCTTCACAGCTTCTGCCTCCATTGAATCAACGTCTCGTGACTCAAAGCTCTATTTCCTTCTTCATAATGATCGCGATGAGAATACTATCTTGTTTAATCCAACCACCAACAAGAATTACACCATCAATATCCCTGAGTTGAAAGAAGCAACTTGCCTTGCATCAACTCAAGGTTGGTTACTCATATCACAAAGAGGTAACCTTTTCTTCTTCTGCCCTTTCTCTCGCGTGAAAATTGACCTCCCACCTATTCAAGGACTAGAGAACACTCCCGCGGCTGCTGCATTTACTTCACCTCCTTCCTCAATTGATTGTGTTACGGCTATCATTTACAAGAAAAATGATGATATTGTGGAAGTAAACGTGCTAGAACGCGGAGCTAGCATGTGGATTAAGTATGAATATGATCTCAAACTTAATCAAAAGAGTTTTGGTGAGGCTAAATGTGCTACTTTTCAACAAGGATGTCTCTATTTGATGGATGGTTTTAAGAAGTTGTTGACATTCACATTGGAAGATAAAAGTTTTGAGATGTTCTTAGTAATTGAGCAATCTAAGGATTCAAATTTGGAAACCTTGTCATTTAGGTACAAGGACAAACTTTTTAGTAGAAGTAATTTGAAAAAACAGATGAATCTTGGTGATGATGTTACTATTACTACTTGTGGTGCTACTTATTTTGGAAGTGATTTAGAAGTTTTGATTCACAATGAAAACATTGAGGCAATGGAAGGAACAAATGCTCAACATTTCAAAGGAATTTGGATTCAGCCTAGATTCTTTCAACTCCCTCCAAATTATAGTTGGTCACTTTGAGGTTTTGATCTAGGTAGTTATATCAATTTTTGTTTCTTTTACTTTGTTTGAATGTAGTGGATTGATAGCAGTGGACAGTTATTTTTTATTATTCTACAAAAATTGATTAATTTCTTCCCTAGCTCCTTACCATTTTCTATTAAGGGTATACTTGCAAAAACACCCAGAGGTCGTTCGGTAGAGTGTATTGGAGAAAATAATGTAAAATAAGTAGAATTTTCTGTCAAACAAAACTAGATACAAGAAATGTAAAATAGCATTATCAGATACATGTCATTATATCGGATATAAAACAAGATTGAAAGTTTTTAAGATGGAGACACATAACACTAATTCGAGACACATATAGAAGAAATTATGTTTAATTCTTCTCCCCATTGTAGACGGCGACAGGTTAATAGATATACAACACACCACCGTGAATTTATCAAAAATAAACTTGAAAAAATCCATAGAATTCATGGCATCGATGATAAAGAGGATGAATGTAATCTATTTGACTGAATCATCAATTAACTTGGAAAACTTTCTTTGTAACAATTACTTCGATTTGGTCTCATTAGAAAGGAACAATACACAATAAAATTTGGGTTCAGGAGATTTTGTTGGTCATGGTGATGATATCTTGAGAAGAATAGAGTAGATTAGTCATTGCTTGAATGAAATTGTATGGTGAAATTCTTGAACCATAAATGAGGAGAGATAATTGAGTGATAAATATAGAGTGGAGAATTGAGAGAGAGGAAATGATTTGGAATGAAAGAATAAATTGAAGAGATAATTAATCAATCCTAATTTTAAGGGATGTTGGTATCTTCAATAATATATGGTATAAAATATTAAAAGTGGTAAGATATGTAATTGTTTGAAAGGAAAGATAATGTTAGTGTATATGGTAGTAGTATTGTCACTCCCCGAGGCTACTCCCTAGACGCAACACGAGACCTAGGATTACAAGTGACCCCAAGCTAACCCTGAGTCTGGCATATCACAAGCATACTGAAATACAACTAAGTAAGTGGAAGCATAACTGTAAAGTGAGTCAAAACTAAAAGAACTTCAAGTGAGAATATAACTGAATATCAAAGGGGAAACAACCCAAAACAACTGAATACTGACTCTATGTCTGAAAGCCTCTAATACTGATGAGCTGCTAGGACAAGTCTCCAACTAACTCTAAAAATACTGAAAGATTGATAATAAGCTAACTAAACCAAAAGCATAAAGAAACGTTCTCGGACTATGAGGAGTCACGATTGAAGTTGTTGAGTATGTGCTGGAAGTCGAACTAAGCGTGATCTGGATGCTAAGCGCCTGAACCTACATCATACAATGATGTAGCGCAAAAGTATGTGTCAGTACTTTGAATGTATTAAGTATGCATGATATAGATACTAAGTTGAACAATATAAACTGAACAATATAGATAGATTGTACTAAAGTATAACTAAAAACTGAGCTAGATGCAATGACCAAGTACTAATCATGGAGATAACATGATGAACTGAATACTGAAGTAAATGTTAATAACATGGTCGATGCAATAAGAGTATGATTATGGGAGCTACTATTAACCGACATAAACCATGTGAGTTAAACGTGGAGTCCGATGTATACGCCCCATCGAGAGGACCCAATATACCTTTCCAAGGGTATAAAGGCGTGACTATGGCGTGATCACTAAAAATTGATGCCCAACAGAGGAGACTTCTGAACCTATGTTGGCACGTAGTTCTGGGACTTTGAGGGTACACTGAACCCTAGTCCAACACGGTACTAAGTCTACTCCCAACTGAATATGTATAGCTAAAATGTACTAAAATACTGAGTAGCTCAAAATATTGATAAGCTATCTGAGAATGCAACATAAATATACTGAAAGATATGACATTCAAATTCTGAAGCATGATTTTCTGATTGATCTACCTAGCAAGTATAATTAATACAAGCTAGGGTTCTGGATTCTATACATGGAAGTATGCAAATTTTCCAAGAAACATGTTATTTAGATCGTGGAAATTATAGCAGCAAAAATTACAATGAATCCCCAAGGTTTTGGAAACCCTAGGTCTGAACAATTTATGAGAATTGAAAAACTGACTGAATTCTAGGGACCTAATGGGTGGAAGGAACCCACTAGTGAAATCTCACATACCTGACTTAAAAGCTGACGAAGTGACTTCAAGACAGGCTTCACGGACCACCACGACCCATCAAGTGGGTCGTGAAGATGCTCTGCCCGACAGGGCTTCACTATTTCGGGAATAACTTTTTACTCCAAGCTTGGAATTAGGCAAACTTAGTGGTATTGAAAAAAGGATTCAGAGATCTTTAATTTGATAGGTCATGGGCCACCTAATTCATTTTGTGCTAAAAGATATGATCGTTTAAATTTGACCCTAAGTTCTAAATTTGATAAGTCCCCTTCACGGACGACTTTACAGTTAGTATGAAGCTTCACGGACCGTCTAGGCGTATGTTGTCCTTCACAGTATCCTTGGGGGTGCAACCTCACTTAAAACTGACAAGGTGACCTTCAAGAGGGGCTTGACGGGTCGTCTAACGCATGATGGCCCGTCTAGTGGGTAGTTATGCTGCCCTGCCCGATAGGGCTTCACTAAAACGAGCATAACTTTTTTCTCCGGGCTCAGAATTAGGCAAACTTGGTGGCATTGGAAAGAGTACTCAAAGACCTTTAATTTTATAGGTCTTGGGCCACCAAATTCATTTTTCGCTAAAAGATATGATTGGTTGAAGTTGCCCCAACACTCAAGACCTGACGTGGGTGCAACCTCCTTGACTGGGTGACTTGTACGGACCCCTAGGCGGGCCTTCTAGGGCGCCGTCTAGGTGACCCCTCCCACGGCAGTCCTGGATGGTCACTCACAACATCCTTAACAGACCGTGGTCCCCCTATACGGACCGTCTAAGATGTCGTGAAGGATCCATGGTCCATTTTGAATTAGTGGACTTGCCCAAATTTCCCGTTCTAGCTCTTTCTCGAAGTCCGAGGTGTTACATATATTTAGTAATGTATTTCTAATAAGTAGTTTATCCTAATTAATACTAGCATTACTAATAAACTGTATTTCGCATTATTTTTATACACTCTACCAATTGATCCTTAAGATGTCACTCTAAAAAAATAATGTTAAAAACCTATAAGAAAAGTAGGCAAATAGATTCAACTATTAGAAAAAGGTGAGGTACAAGATAAAATAAATTATTAAATGATAAGCAAACACAAACGAGACCTTCAATATTTTAGCAATAAGGTCTATAGCCAGCCTTAATTGTCAAATATATTGAAAAGTTAATTATAGTACTATATATAGTTTTATGTACCGTGAAACATCAGAGATAATATTGGAACTCCATTGAGTTTATGAGCAAATTGGAAGCATAGAGGAAAATGATGACAACTCACTAAACAATACTTCCTCTGTCCTTTTTTACTTGCCAAATTTTGATTTAGCACACCTATTAAGAAAATATTAATTATTACTTAGAGTGAGTTTAGGTCATGTTAGTAAATCTTTTTTCAACTAAATGGTTGAAAATAAAAATTATGACATGTTTGTATTGCTACTGGGCTTATTCAATCGACACAATATGTATGAAGAGCAGTTATTTTGAATAGTCTATCACAAGGCAACCACCAAAATGTGTTTTTTCACATTATAAACCTCACTATGGTGACAACAGGCCGAATCGCACAAAGAGAAAGCATCAATAACCAAATTCGAGCAAGATTCAACATCAAACTGACGAAGAGAACTCAAATCAAAGCACGAAAGATAAATCGAGGACAAAGCTTGATCAAGTTTTAAAAGCCTCACAGAAAGATAGACAATCTAGCTGAGCAAACCTTAAATATGCCCATTTGATTTCTTTAATCAATCAAGCACAAGCTTGCTCAGCACTTTCATCAAACACTTCATCTGCAACCTGAAACCTTCATATAATTAAATCTGACCAAAAGACAAGATAAAACACAGTAAAAGAACAACGAATCAAAGCGGAAAGGACTTCCATTTCATTGCCAAACTATTGGTCTAAAAAAACCTAGAGATGAAGAATCTGGAGCCAGAAATGGTCATCTACTAACAAGTAGTTTAAAAGCTTGAATTGATATCTCAAAATAGCTACAAGAACCAAACTGTTGGAGAAATTAATTATATAGGCAATTAAGTTATTGGATAAAAAGATGGAAGGGTTCCACACACAGTAAAGCCTAAAGCTAACACTTTGTTCCACATACAGTTCTAAAGCCTAAAGCTAACATTTTCTGGAAGACTTCATAAAGGCTCGAAATGACTGTAAATTATATTTTCTACATCGGAAAATGATGTGCATTGCTTTCTAATATCCGCTGTGGAGCTATGTTTACAGTAGCTTCTGTCCAGAGAGACGAACCAACTCCCATATCTTCACAGTCCCATCATCACTGGCCGAAGCAAGAAGCCTCCTATCCTGCATGATTGACAGAAGAACGTAAAACGTACTGCAGAGCATTTATTTAACCAAAGAGAATCTTGTTTTCATACTGTAGGGGCATAGAAATGAAACTCAAATATGCAATAAATTCACCCTTCTACCCTCTACATAAAACAGTCAAGACTGAATATTTGAGAACACAACTGAAGACAAACATTTCATCTCCTTGAAAAACCTTACAACAATCATTGCAGTGCCTAATATATATGACGTACCCAACACAAATTGTCAGCTCTGACACATTATGTGACACATTGGTCAATGGAAAGTAAAGAAAAACTGAGGTTAACAAACATTTATCAGGTCCAAAGTTAAATGCTTTTATGTGTTCTCAGTATGCCAACATTTATAATGTGTAATACCATCTCACCGCACAATAACCCAAGGCTCCATTTAGAATTGTGGATTTGAAAGTCGAGAGTCAAACGGAATATTGGTCAGACATCAAATTCATATATATCACAAATGAAACATGATCTTAATAAGCTTTTCTCAATCTAACA